CACACACACACACACACACACACACCGCTGTCTTATCAGAGTTTTCTGTTTCAGTGTTTCTGAAGCGTCTGTGAATCACATTATCAGACACACACAGAGAGCAGTTTAATCCTCTCAGCAACTGAAACAGCCGCTTTTAATTGTAAGTGCATTATTTACATTATAGCAGCTATTATGATGACAATATCTGAGGCGGCACACTGAGCTAGCAGATTTATTATACGGCTTCTTTTACTTTATTTATGTGTTATTTTAAATGTGTGAAACTGTGTGATATTTTTTATTTTTGTTTTTAAAAAATGTGTTTAAATCAATTTGATTATTTTAATATAATTTAATGATTTTTTTATTATTTATTTGTTTGTTTTATCGTTTTATTTTGTTTGGATTTAATTCATGCAATTTTGTTTAGTGTTTTAATTTAATTTAATTAATTTTACTTCGGCTATTTTATCAGTGGTCGCCACAGTGGCATGAACCGCCAACTATTCCAGCATGTGTTACGCAGCAGATGCCCTTCCAGACGCAACCCAGTAATAATAATAATACTTCCTTACATGTCTATAGCGATTTCTAGACACTCAAATCGCTGTACATATAGGGGGGAATCTCCTCATCCTCCACCAGTGTGCAGCATCCACCTGGATGACACAAAGGCAGCCATATTGCGCCAGACCGCACACCACACACCAGCTGATTGGTGGAGAGGAGACAGAGTGATGGAGCCAATTATGATATGGGGATGGTTAGGAGGCCAGTGGGCAGATTTGGTCAGGATGCCCTAGTCTTTTTTCACAGATATCCTGGGATTATTAATCAGCACAGAGAGTCAGGACCTCAGTCTACGGTCAATTTAGTTGATCAGTTCCCCTATAGCGCATGTGGTTGGACTGTGGGGGAAACCGGTGAACTCTGAGGAAACCCATGGCAACACAGGGAGAACATGCAAACTCCACACAGAAACGACAACTGACCCAGTGGGAACTCGAACCAGAAGACCTTCTTGCTGTGAGGCCACAGTGCAACACCACTGAGCCACTGTGTCACTTTTAATTGAATTTACTTGAATATTTACTTTATTTTATTATTTTGATCTAATTTTATTTAGTTATTTTTTATAGCATTTCATTTCATAACCTGAACCACACTGTTCCAGTTACTATGACCATTTATGTGAAGCTGCTTTGACACAATCTACATTGTAAAAGCGCTATACAAATAAAGCTGAATTGAATTGAATTGAATTTCATTGTTTTATTTAAAATTTAAATTTAATTTAATTTAATTCAATTGACTAATATTATTTTTTAATTAATTTTATTTTTAAATTTCTTTAGCATTTTATTTTAAATTTAATTTAATAATTGAAAAACTATTATCATTATTTTTTTAGTTTATTTCATTTAATCATTTTAATTGGTTAAGTTTTTATAAAATTTTACTTTGTATAGTTTCATTTCAATTTTAATTTTGTTTAGTGTTTTTAATTTAATTTAATTTAATTTAATTTAATTTAATTTAATTTAATTTAATTTAATTTAATTTAATTTTTATTTTTATTTATTTTGTTATTTTATTTTGTCTAGATTTAAATAATTTGTTGTCATTTTGTTTAGTTTTTTATTTGCTGTAACTTATTAACTATTATAATTATTCAAATTTATTTTTATGTTATCATTTTATTTACTTTATTTTTTAGCATTTATATTTTTTATTTGATTTAATTAAATTTAACTCTTAAATTACTTTATTATTTAGAGTAATTTATTTAATTATTTTAATAGGTTAAGTTTTTAACTATTTATTATTATTGGTATTTTATTATTTTGCTTATTTTTAATTTAATTTTCATTTTGTTTAGTGTTTTAATTTAATTTAATTTATTTGTTATATTTTTTATTTAAATTTATTTGATCATTTTATTAGATTTTTTAATTTAATGTACTTTTTTAGTATTTTAAATTAATTTAATTTACTAATAATATTATTTTTATTTATTTTATTTAATATATTTTTGTTTATTTATTATTTTTAGCATTTTATTTTTAATGTAATTTAACAATTAAAGAACTATTCAATTTAAATTTTTTGTGTTTTTACTTTACTTTAATTTAATTTAATATTTTATTTAGATTAGTTTTTTATTTAATGTACTTTTCTAGTATTTTAAATTTATTTAATTTACTATTAATATTATTTAAATTTATTTTATTTGATGATTTTATTCAGCTTAGCTATTATTTTATTTTATTTTGCTTAGTTTTAATTAAATTTTAATTTTGTTTAGTGTTTTATTTATTATTTAATTTATTTTTTATTTTAATTTAATTTAATTTAATCATTATCATTTTTATTTTACTTTATTTTATAATTTTATTTGATTACAAGAATAAAATAAAATAAAATAAAATAAAATAAAATAGAATAAATTAAATTAAATTAAATTAAATTAAATTAAATTAAATTAAATTAAATTAAATTAAATTAAATTAAATTAAATTAAATTAAATTAAATTACCCTCATGACCTCTACAAAAGTGTGTGCCTGTGAGTGTGTTTGAGTTGTAACCCCTTACTGCATTATCACCAAGCAGAGCACAGTCTCATCTCCAGAAGGCAATAATCC